TTCGGAATTTTTACGTTTCGGGACTTAGAATTTTTACGCGCCTTCTTAAAGTCGCGCTGCAGCGTCGTCACGAATGACACTCTATCGATTTAAAAACTACAAGGCGTCGTCAGAATAAATACGAGGACATAGGATATCGCGTTTAAACTTCGAATTTTGACGTTTCGGAACTTGATATTTTTACGCGGGAATATTAAAGTCACGCTGCATCGTCGTCATGAATGACACTCTATCGAATTAAAACTTACGAGACATCATTAGATTTAATGCCGGGGCATAGGATATCGCGTTAAAAATAAAAAATTTTTAATTTTCGAAACTCGCGATTTTTTTGCGCCAACTTAAAGTGGAAGGATCGTCGCCAGTACCTACTCTAGCGAATCAAGAATTTCGAGGCATCGTTCGATTTCGTGCCTGGGAATAGGCAATCGTGTCCGAACTGCAAAATTGTAATTTTTCTGCATTTGTCAATGTCTCGCGCGGAATCTTAAAATGTGCTGAATCTTCGTCAAAAAGCGATTGTGAAAGCACTGAAATCTTAGCTTTCCTACGAGACCAAGATCATCTTGCTATGATATTTTTGTGCGAAGATATTGATGATTATATTGACTCGTGATCTCAATCTCGGTATAGAATTAATTTTATTTCCAGAATTCGTTAACGATATCGCACAAACTAAGTATCCGTGATAAACGATTCTTATCTGGTTAGAAGCGCTGAAATCTTGCTTTTCAACAAGACCAGGTACATCTTGCTACGATTATTCTGTGCGAAGAAATTGACGATTATATCGAGTCCTGATCTCGATCTCGGGACAAAATTAATTTTATTTCTAGAATTAATCAACGGTATTTCAGAAACTAATGATCCGAGATAAACGATTCTTATCTCGATAGAAGCGCTGAAATCTTAGCTTTCAAACGAGACCAGGTTCATCTCGCTATGATTTTTCTGTGCGAAAAAATTGACGATTATATCGACTCGCGATCACACACACACACACACATAATCCCGAGACAAACAGCAGACTGCTCGTATATGCGGCGTCTCGCTCGGCGTCTGGCGCGGCGGTGTTTACTATCGAACACCTGTGCCTTGTATGTTTTGAAGTCAGTTTTTTGATGCTTGCGTACTACTCGCGTAAAAACTCGCGCTACATTCTCAGAAGAATGGTGCGCGCGCCCGATTTTTACAAGGCTATATCTGGGCGAAAAATCGACGTAGCGAGATGAACAAAAAACCAATCTTCTTCGTTTCGCATCCCGCAGATGTCTACGTTGAATATGAATGTGTGTCGGGGCATAGGAAATCGCGTTCAAACTACGAAATTCTTTATTTTTGGGACTTGCAATTTTTTTGCACCAACATTAAAGTTGCTGCATCGTCGAAGATAACGAGACTTTAGCGAAGTAAAACTTACGAGACATTGATAGATTTCGTTCAGGGGCATAGGAAATCGCGTTAGAACTACAAAATTTTTAATTCTCGGGACTTGCGATCTTTTTGCGCCAACCTTAAAGTGGATGGATCGTCGCCAGTAACTCTAGCAAATCAAGAATTGCGAGACATCGTTAGATTTCGTGCCTGGGAATAGGCAATCATGTCCGAACTGCAAAATTTTTATTTTTCTGCACCTGTCAATGTCTCGCGCAGAATCTTAAATTGCGCTGCATCATCGTCATGAATGACACTCTATCGCATTAAAACTTGCGAGACATCATTACACTGAGAAAAATTTCCATCGGATAAACCAATTAAATAGTATGTCCGATGGTTAATTTTTCCGATTACGTTTTCCGATTAAATTATGGATATATCCAATGAAATTTATCCGATGAAATGCAATTACCAGTGAAATTTAATTGAAAAACCGATTAAATTTTTCATCGGAAATACAATTTAATCGAATATATTCGTTTGTTATCATGTAATTGGATTATCCGATTATACCTGTATTTAATCGGACATTTTTCTCAGTGTAGATTTAATGCGGGGGCTTAGGATATCGCGTTTAATCTTCGAATTTTTACGTTTCGGAACTTTCAATTTTTACGCGCCAACTTTAAAGTCGCGCTGCATTGTCGTCAATAATGAGACTATCAAATTAAAACTTACGAGACATTGATAGATTTCGTGCAGGGACATAGGAAATCGCGTTTAAACTACGAAATTTTCAATTTTTGGGACTTTCGATTTTTTTGCGCCAACCTTAAAGTGGATGGATCGTCGTCAGTAATCACTCTAGCGAATCAAGAATTGCGAGACAACGATCGAATTCGGGCCTGGGAATAGTAAAATCGTGTGCGAACTGCAATATTTTTAATTTTTGGGACTTGCGATCTTTTTGCGCCAACAAGTTATAAAAGTGTAAAAACTTAATTTTATCGCAAACAAAAGAGAGCCGCCGATAAGAATTTGGTGGGGGCAGCGGAGGGCCTCTTTAGATTAACTTTTCTATTGTATGAAATTTTAAGTTGGTCTAAGAAAATCTTTTATGCGATAGATTTTCGTTTGCGCGTTTACAGTACGATTTTTGTTACACATTTATACAGTGGTAGGTACTGATTTTATCGGATAACTATTGGTTACAGTATAAGTTAAATCCGAATAGGTGAACCCTCCGATCTTTTTAAAGCGACACTATTTTTTGTATTTCTGAACGCTGATTACGAATATGACAATAAAAATTTGCGACAAGGTCATTTTCAAGGTCAAAACTAAAAAAACTGAAGGAATATAACTTTAATTTTATAGACCTGTTGATCATTTATTCATTTTGTACGATATATTATTTATGTGTGACTGTTTTATTCTTCGTGTGTTTTTTTTTCAGATTCTTGCATGGTATCGGCTCCTCCTGACGCTCTCTTTTCGCCGGTCCTTATACGCCGCTCGCGTATAGTGTTTGTTGGTGTCGGTACAGGTATCCTAACCTCACAACTGTCAGATTTTAACAATTTATAACTCTCTTATTAGTGCCGAGCGATAATTTTAACTTGCAAATTCGTGTTTTACAGGCAAAAATAAACCCGATTAAAGGTACCCTGTAACCGTGGTCGTGGTCACATGGTCTCGATCCTCCCCCCAACCTGTCACGCTCGCAGTCACATGACGTGACACGGCTCGTTGCGGGACTTGCGGGGCTGCTGCGTCGACATGCCCGCGTAGGTTATGTGTCGCCGATGATAAACCACAGCATCCGCGATGAGCGAGAAGAACGTAAACTCCGCTCTGGTGCGGAGGGTCAACAAATTGCTGGAGTCCAGGGTGGAGCACGACAAGGTGCGAATAATGCGTCGCCTACAATACGCGGAGTAAGCCTGGCGTAAGGAGTAAGAGAGAACCTTAACCTTTAGCCTTTGATGTAAGCTAAAACACGGGCATAACTTTTAAAATATTTGTAACACTGACCCCGATGGCGTTCTGATTCGTCGAGAGTAAAAGCTCAAGCAAGAGTAAGAAACAAAATTGATTCATTTCCTTACTCCAGGCTTATTCCACGCACAAGTGTCGGCAGGTGATCAACGAGATGCGGGAATTGCTCCTCCGCGAAGTCTCCGGGCACATTTTCCTCGCACGAGTGCCGAATAATTATTCAGAATTGCCATGTTTCAGGACACGCTGGAGGCTCTGAAAGAATTGTCGACGTTCTTCACCGAGAACACGTTGAACTCCCGCCGAAATCTGCGCAGCAAGATAGAGAGGCGGAGCCTGGCGATAAACGAGGAATTTCTGGCCGCCTTCAGGGAGGTGAAGGCTACCCTGGATGACGTCTATCAAAATGTCCTGGCGATGAACACGGCTGTGCAATCTATGACCGATCGCCTGCAGGTTACGAAGGCCCAAACGTCGCAGCTGATTGAACAAACCGCGAAGCTTCAGAGCGAGAGGTAAAGACGTTTGTACCGTCAATCTACAGCGTGGACTACGCAATCTTTGCCGCACTCGTGAAAGAAGGTCTTGAAAAGTGTGGATTGCAAGTGCTCGCAGATTCTTTCTCTGTAGTCCACTTGATGCTGCGACTGTTCCAAAGTGTTTTTCTACTCCCTCCTTCTTAATTAAAAAGGAAGCATTTGCAGCATCAAGCGGACCGCAGCCTCTGTTAAAGACATGATCGGCAGATATTGGCTGTAAACATCTGCTGTTGTTTTACAATGAGACACCCTTTCAAAGTATGTTGCGCAGTCCATGCTGTTACGACGGTTTGTACTATGGTACGCAGTTACAGTTTCCGAGAAACTCACTGTTTTCTTTGTCCCCAGTCAAGCGTTAACCATGCAGCAGGAAGTCGCAAGCGTATTTATCAAAAACTTGCAGCTAACTCCATCCGAATTGACTGTACTGCATGGCTCGGCCAGGGAGTCGCCTATAACGGAGGAGTTTTTTTCTGTAGTTAATAAAGTACAGGTATTTATCTTCAATAGAGAGCGTTACTTAAATTTCATCGCTACGCTATCACGGCTTTGTTGGAATCCAGGATATTCACGGCAAGTGTAGAGTACTGATGCAGTCCGGCTACCAGACCTTGGCTCTGGATGTCATGCAGAGGATGACGCTGTTGCAAGAGTCCGCACTTGAACGATTGTACCGGTGGACGCAGACCCAGTGTAAAAACATAGAAAACGAACGTTTGGCGCCGTTACTCGTTAAGGCTATGAACAAGCTGCAAGATAGGCCGGTGTTGTTCAAGTGAGACTTGTAGAGTTTGAGTTCGAGTCATTACTTTTTTTGAAAACTTTTTTGTAACAACTGCTGTTGTTACAAAGATGATGGAAAATTATTCGACGTATCTGGCAATATTTTGTTTAAGAACGAGAATTCCGGTCGAAACGTTGTGTGTTTTGTTCTTAAAGAAAACACTGCCAGATACGTCGAATAATTTTCCATTACCTTTGTATTAACTATTCAGTGGCGAAGAAAAGATTCTCAATATTGACTGATATTGTTATCGTAATTGACATGTACCGAACGTCGCTAGGTACATTCTGGACGAATACTGTGCGGCTAGAAGAACCGCCCTGGTAGGGTCTTTCATAGATGCGTTGACGTTAGGAGAGAGTTTTGGGACACCTAATCCCATAGAAATGCACGCCAATGATCCGAAGCGGTACGTCGGTGATATGCTCGCTTGGTTGCATCAAGTGATTCCCGTGGAGAAGGAGAATATTTTTATTCTGGTGAAAGGCTGTGATAAGACAGGTGAGCAGCTCTGCTCTTCTCATCTCGAGCATAGACTTAAAAGAATAGACTGCGCGTTCTTATGAGTCAACTGGCCGAAGTGGTGTGGACCGAAGAATAGAGACAGTCTGTAAATCGTGCTCTCTCTGTCATCATCATCATCTCACATCTCTCATCTCTCATCTAATCACCAATTCGCATATTGGAAAGAGACACGACTTACGCTATTGCTCTCTCTTTCTAATGTCGACGCCAGCTCCTCTCATGGAACACGCAGTCTGTTCCTTTAAGTCTACGATTTCGAGTCGTCTAAATATGAATTCACTTATTAGAATTCACAGATTAAAATTATTTGGCTATCTACAACTTGCTGGGACCTAATGGGCTCTTCTCGTTTCTTGCTTGATTTCTAATGGTCCTGATTTAACTCTAATTGAATTTACTTATTTGTAGACGTGTCGGATCAAGTGAAGCAGGCGTTGAGTAACATCACGGAAGGATTGTGTCATCCTTTAAAATCGAGAATAGAGCACGTTATATCTACGGAGGCGCCGGCAACAGTATTATACTCGGTCACAACCCTGATCAGATTTTACCACGCTATTATCGAGCAAGTCATACCCGACAGTGTCCTGGATCAGACACTGTCGGACTTGTTGGTCTTGAGTGAAAAGAGTTTTCTAAGCAGGCTGCAGAGAGAAACGAGAATCGCCCTCGGTGAGCGCGCGGAGCCTCCCGGAAGCGACTTGGTCCCCGCCCCGTCGGTCTCCAGACTATTGTCGCTTCTAAACGAAATCCTGTCTGTTGCCAGTATAGCTGAAGACAGGGAAAAAGATATGCTACAGGTATATTCAGAAAAGACATTTTCCAATCTCGTCAGGTGGAATCTAATAGGTGTAGTAGGTTTCAAGCTGTAAAAACGTCATCAGTCACAAGCGAGCAATTCTTCTCATCTTTGACTGGTCAATTTCTTACGGTTTAACATTCACTACACCTATCTGTCTCGAGCATTTCCTTTATGTCGCTTTACGACCGACAGATTGTATCGTGCATCATCGATCCGTTACTTCAAGAAGTTAACGAAACGGCATCCAGATTGCCAACCGTGGACATGGCCGTTTATCTTCTCAATTGCATGCATCAGATACAATCGACGCTGGCACTGTACGAGTACATGGACCAGAGATTAGAAAGGTTACAGGTGATTGGTTAGTTTTGTACACTAGAGACGTAGTAAGATGAAATTATTTCTGCCTCATTTGGCGTCTCGCCTGCCAATTTTGCACGAAATCGCAATCGACTGTAATGACGCAGGCACAATCGGACGCGCAAATCGACACGCTCACGTCGGAGCAAGCTAGTTCCTTGGTCGCGCATTTGAATCTCGGCTCGATCTACACCATCCTGCAAGGACGCGACCAGGGGCCACTTTCGTCCATACCGGGCATGGATGCCCTCAGCGTGAAAGAGTTCACCGTAAGTGCTGCGGGTTCAGTTATAAACGTAGAATAACAAACTAACGACAGACGTCGACGCTCCTTCGCAGAATAAACTGGAGGCGTTTCTCGTGATGCCGGACGTCCTGCTGCTACCGCAAATAAGCTTGCTGCAGAGCAACAATCATCGCGCGATCACGCAGAGGCGATCGTTCGAGGTGATCGGCGCTATATACAAACAGCTGCACGACGCCTGCCACGACCCGAAGAATTTATACCAAAATCCGAGCGGGCTCTTTTCCAGAACGCCCGAGGACCTCCTTCAGACGCTAGTTTCTCAATAATCGCATCCCCGACGGGCATCGTACACATTATATACATACATGTACATATTTAAACGAAATGAATTATGCGAAAATATTAAAAAAAAAACCATGAAATCCGCCTGATTCCTAGAAGCGCGAACAGCTCTCGAGCTGTTAGAAAATGTTGAACGGGCGCGGCGTGCGCGAGCGTCCTTAAAATTTGCATAAAAGACTCCTTTGTTCAAAGTCCCGGGAAGACTTGGATCGAGCGTTCCCGCCAGTGCGCGCGATTGGCGGGCGACGGCGGGCGGCGATTGGCCGCGCGGGCTCGCGTCGCCCTTGGCGACGGCGGTCGGCGCAGGCGCCCGGCGCTTCGCGCGGCGATTGGCCCGGCGTTTTCAGTCAGTCGCTGGTCCGGTGCGGTGGAATGTGGTCGCTTCCGCATTTCGTTGGCGAGCGCCGCGCGTCTCTCATTCATCCGCTCGTGTGGTAGTGCGCTCGCGCGTGGGACTCGCTGGTGCGCGACGTTCTCGTGCTCTGGCCGGGCGGGCGCACGTCCCTCGCCCGAGATATCGGCCGCGCGTCCCGCAGCGTCGGGCACGGGAGTGTACGTGTACGTTGGTCTCGCGCACGGGGCGGGCGACGTGAGATGCGGCGCCGTACGGCGGCGGGCACGGCGCCGACGCGACGCGACGCACGCAGCGCGATATAATTCCGGCCGCGGGGACCGGACGCGCCATGGACCTCGCCGTCCCGCCGACCGCCCGTCATCGACGCGCACAAAGGACGGATAGGAAGCGGCGGCAGTAGTGCGTGAGTGAGTGGAAGAGCGTTGTTGAGTGCGGGAGCAAGATGGCGGAATCGAGCTATTATCAGGTGAGTCTCTCGCGAGCGGAGGCACTTGTGGTCCGCGCGCGCTCTCCGTCACCTCCACGCTCTCTTTGCGAACTGGCGCGCGCGCGCGGGCGCCCGCTCGCTCGCTCGCTCGCGTGCCCGACTGGTGCGTCAGCCTCCGTTATCGCGTTCCCCGCGGACGCGACGCCGCGATCCCGCGGGCGTCCGGGACTCCCGTTTCTCTATCGCGCTCTCTATCTCGCCCTTTCTTCCGTCTCTCTCCGCCGTTCTCGCTCGCCCGACGCACATGCACTCGCGCGACCTTTCCGGCGCGGATCGCGACGTGCTCGCGGAGTCGGCGGCGAAGTGACGGGCCCGACAGGCGCACACCTGACACGCGCTCGGGCCGCGAGGACGCCAGTTTCAGTTCCCCTCGAGGTTACGCTGCCACCTGCGCGGCGTAGACGCGGGGAGGAAGTGCCGCTAACGAGGGTTAACCGGCGCCGCGGTTTTCGGCTCGGCCGGCGAGTTTTACGGAAAGAAATGGAGCGCTTCGCGTTGTCGCGCTACCGCGGCATCTCGGCTGGCGCCGGTCCCGCTCCGCGATTGTTATCGCTCCACCTGACGAAGACGACGGGAGACGGTGGCCGGTTGGCGCTAATCAGCGTCGGCGTGTAACCGGTCCTCGCTGACTTTTCGCGCCGGTCGCCCGTTCCTCCTCTGCAACACCTGCTCCTCCCGCGAGGAGCGAGGCTCGATCGGGCACGATTCGCGCGGCGAAGGCTTTCCCAGGCCGACTCGACGATCGTCGCCGGATCCCCGTGATCGCCGAGGCGGTTTTTGCCCCCGAAAACTTTCACGCGTAATCGCGAGCTACACTTCGAGATCCGATCTCGGGAGGTCGACTCCGTTAGATCGCTCGCTCCGGCGCCTTTCTCGAATTTCGCGGCGAATAGACTTACGGGAATAATGTTCGAAGTACTTTCGACAGTATCAGCTGCGTCGTTTTTTTGCGAGATTTAATTTCACGCTAAAACGGAGAGCATCGAATTGGCGCGGCGAGTTTGACCTTTTTTTTTCTCTCTCGTCTTTCTCCGGGGACTAAAACAATCCGGAAAATAAATAAAGATGAAAGTATATAAAGCTAGAGTTTTTTTAAAGGAAGATTGAAAAAGCGGGGGGGGGGAGAGAACTGGAAGCGCCGCGGTGACAGTTTCGCTTTGATTTTGCTGAAATGTGGTGTTGGCTGTGTCTTCGACGAACCTTTGGAGATCGATTTAGCGTAACGGATCAATTTTATGCATCGCTCCTGCACGAGAAAAATGACACGAGTTAAAGAATAGCCGGTTTACAGGTGGACGATTTTTTAACTTTCGATCCGCTTGCAGATCGTGCACAGCTACGGCCACATAGTCCGCTAAATTGTTTCTTTTCTTCTCCTTGTCTTGCCTCGATCTTCCTCTATACCGTGAGAAAATTAGTTTTCTTCTAAATGTTCCTTCGCTTTATCATCTCTATTTGTTTCAAATTTTTACGGTTTATTCTTTACACCAATACGTGCAAGACTAATTAAATTAAAACTGACCGTCTCAAAGTTCTAAAAAAAAAAATGTTAAAGTTTGCTATGTTACACGAAATATTACGTGTAAAACACGTTAAAGATATTTTTACACGTAACAATATAATTCGTTGTAATATTATTACGCGTGAAATATTATTTACACATATTATTACGCGCTAAAAATATTAATATTTGCGTTAGCAAACGCAATTGATGGTACATTTTATTTATTTTACGCTTAACGGTGAGTGAGACTCGTATGAGAAACAAATATATTGTAAAGTAAAATAGAACGAATAGCTGGAAAAAAATCAAAATTATTGACCGTTCCGTTTCAACGATATAAACAGTTAAAACTGAAAAATGGGAAGAATTGTGCAGTAGACATGAGTATAGTGTAAGAGATGTGACAAAGATTGTCGCGTCTCGCACTATAATCTTTCGAATCTATTTTATATCGCGAAACAATTACTTTAAACGAAACACGATCGCGGGTCCTTTTCGGTCGAAATATTTGTAACTGCACTCGTGATGCTTTTCCGGATAAAAGTATGTATATTTTCGCGTTAAGACCTCTGATCCCTGCTACCGTTGAAGTGACGTCAGAAGCGAGAAATGGCACGCTGGGAATTCTCGTGAAAAGTTATTTGGCTGAAAACATTTCAACTTTAGCACGCGTACATTTATAAAATTGTCTGGCAACTATCTTTTCCTTTCGATAGTTGATAGACAGCCTTAAAATAAACGTGATACGAAGCCTAGTCACGCAGTTTATTCAGAGGCGCATGAGTGTTGGTCTACAACCTTGCTTTGAGTAAGCTGTAAGCCTCAAGCCGTAAGAAATTAGCCAATCACAGGTGAGAGCGAGGGGAATAAATGCCTGCGATTGGTTAATTTCTTGCGGCTTAAGGCTTACAGCTTACTTAAAGCAAGCTTGTAGACCAACACTAATCAAGCTTACAGCAGGAACCGGGAACTTTTAACAAATTAAATATAAAAACTTGTATTTTTTTTACTCGCGTCACTTGTCACAAGAGGGGCATATCGAGTTTCGCAGTCGTTCTCGTTCTAGAGCTACAGTTGCGATCGTAATGCGTCGATGAATGAGTAATTTAACATTACACGGCGGGATTTTCTAAATTTGGCGTCGCGCGCGCGCGATAGTCGCAAGAGCCCGGTAGGCTCTCGGCGTCGGTGAAAACGATTCCCCTCGCTACTTTCACGCTTTTCCCCGATCTCCTCGCGCGCGAAAGAACGCCCGTCCGCGCGTGAAGGGTCCCCGTGACGTTGGCGACGTCTGTTGACCTCCCGGGGATTATCGCGCACAAATATTGGCGGAATGCGTGAAAATAGATCGTGCGTCAGGGTGCCGGGACCGCGTGCGCACGTTTTTCGCACACGCGGCGAAAACCAAATCAACATCCAGACTTTCATTATTCTCGGAGGCGGGCCCCCCCCCCCGGCCCGGGCGGCCGCTCGTTGTTTCTCAGACGCGCCTGGCCTGGTTGACGTCTTAGCGCGAGGGGGATTTGCGTAACTCGTACGATCGCGGATTGTGAATGAGACGTCGTAATATCGCAGCCGCGTACCGTTTCGACACGTTCGAAGCCTGATCTTCAACGTCCTCTTCGCGTCTGGAAACGTTCTATTTTGCAGCCAATAACTACGTTCGACAGATTTGTGCAAGTTGACAAATTGTGCTCTTTAAAAATCAATCAGTGATATTCCACTGAGTGACTTTTAGAGAGTGAATTGTACAAACGTACTTTGTTGACAAATTTTTTAAACGCTTTGACTTGCTTGTACAAAATAGAATGTTTCTAATTGCAAAGAGCATAGTGTAGGTAAGGTTTCAATCCTCTGAGCGACGTGCCGTTTCGACAGGTTTGAAGCCTGATCTTCAATGTGCTCTTCGCATCTGGAAACATTCTATTTTGCAGCCAACAAATACGTTTAAAAGATTTGTGCAAGTTGACAAATTGTACAATTGCACTTTGTCGACAAATTTTTTAAGCGAGTTGACTAGCTTGTACAAAATAATAGAATGTTGCTAATCGCAAAGAACACATTGTAGATCAGGTTGCACGGTGTGTTGCACAACGACGCACGGTTATCATACAACGTACACGGTCGTAATTCGCGGATACTTCTCTCGAGACAGATCGAGCTTGTCGAAGTCAACGCGCAACTTGATCGTGCGGTGCGAAGAAATTGGAAATTGATCATACATTATGCACCGGGATGGCTAGTTGTCTGGAGCCACGATAAAAAAGACGTATCGGGTGGCAGCGGAGCTCACGTAGCTCGTTTCGTGCCTGACGATTGGCCGCTCCCCCCCCCTCTCTCGAAGATACCTTCTTTGGTATTAGCATCGTGAGGGAACGATAAGTCCACGTTTTTCAGTTGAGTAACGCTGTTATCGGCGCGGCGCGAGATAAGGAGATAACGGCCGTTAGCGCTGTCTTTTCTTGGTCAGTTCTGCTTCTCAAATTCGAGGAGGCGCGCTCCTGCGGGTGCGCGAGCGAGTTTTCTTTCTGGGCGAGAGAAAAGGAGCCGAAGTACGGCTCCAACTTTTGACTAACGACTAACAACTCATTGCAGATCGGGCCTCACGGTTAGGCGGATCGCGAGACAACGCGCGACGGTGCGCGGAATCGCGGAAATACGCACGGCGCGCGGACGTGATATCGTAGATTTTCGCTGCAACAGGTGGCTGACGTTCACCTGGCCGCGCCGCGGCCGCAGCCCCGCGGGGAGATTATCGCTCCGGTGACAGTGATTCAGCAGTGATTAATCGCGACGGGAGCTCCGTTTGTTTGTCGCTCGCCGGCGAGTCCCAATGACGAGCCATTAGAGGCGTTCGTCCGCCGATACATCGGCCTCGCGACGATAAACGCACGCGCGACCGGGAGAGACGGGGGAGCGTCCGGCGCGAGGCGAGGATGTCGTTTTTTGGCTCGCTGGACAGGAAGAAGAGGAGATCGGTCGCGTGCAAGTGCATCCCGTTGACCAAGGCGACCGGCTCCAGATCCTTTCGGACTTGCGGGGCCTCGTGCGCGGTACGTTTCCGCTAGAATCCCTGCAATCAGAGTCCAGCCAACACACAGGCCAGTTTTCGCAGTTCTGGCAGTTATCGTGATCGAGAGATGGACGTACGCTATTTTTTTCTCTCTCTCTCTCTCTCTCTCTCTCTCTCTCTCTCTCTCTCTCTCTCTCTCTCTCTTTTTCTCTATCGTTTGGAAATTGCCAGAAATCGGATCAGTCAGAAGTTGCCGTCCGTTGACCAGACTCTGATTAGAGGGACTCTAGGTGCCGTCGAGCGACTCGGGACGAATCTCTCCAGACGCGCAAAGTCGAGTCGCTCCGACGCGGCCTCCCCCCTCCCCTGGATTCGCTCGCGATTGCACGTTGCGCGTCGCGAAGTAGGTCACTAACGCGTCCGTTGGAAGTTTGATCGAACACCCTTGGCCGTTTCCACGGGGCGAGGCAATTGTATGCACCACGTGGGACTTGACGTCCATTCATCACAATGGACGACGCCGTCTCGATGCCCGCGGCCGCTCGACGGCGAGAGACCGCGGGAGACCACCGATACTTTCTCCCGCCGTGTGTTTGCCTAGCCTCGTCTATATCCGTATCCAGCGCGAGTAGGCCACGGGGCGGTAATACAGCTGTATACGCGCCAGACGATTTCCGGTTAGGAGAGATACTATGTTTCGCGAGGTTTCCCCTCTCGACCCGAGGATGATCCGCCGATCGATTTACGGTGCAATTTCCGCCCTGGTGTTCTCTTAAACCGGCGAACGCGAGAGATGACGCGTTGCGATTGTTATTATTATTATAAAGATTAACGCGGACTCGCGTGCATAATACCGAAAGATCATATGCGCTCGGCGCGCGGAAACGAGCGGCGGTGCGGCACGATGTCGATTATTAATTGATGCGAATCTCTTGGCACAGGGATGAAAGAAAGAAAACAAAGTTTAAATACAGACACAGCGCTCTCGTATGTAAAAGTGAAATTACCACGGAGCGCAAAAGGACGAGCTCGCGTTTTAATCGGAAAGAGAGAGTTTAATTGGAGATTGATTGATCGTCCGGACCGACGGAGCTAGTCGTCGTTATTTGCGCCGCTCCTCCTCGCCCAACATCATGATGCCCGATCGGCCGTCGATAATCAGTCTCGAACTTGGTATCTGTTTCAGGGCGATTACATCAGGCACCCGGTTCTCTACGAACTGTCGAGCAAGTATGGAGTGGCCGGCAGTGACCAGGTGCCCTTGCCGGCTCGTCTTGACGTGCTGCGGGAGCACATACGCCGAGAAATACGCAAGGTATGTCGGAGTACTTCGCTTATCCCTCTCGCCGACCGGCAGGGCTTCTGCGAAGCTCTCTTTTTCTTCGTCCGTGTACACACGGTAGCAGGCACCCCGCGCGTCTCCCTCGCGCTATCTCGCTCCGACCCGTTGGTACTTACCGCTCTCCTTTCCTCTCCAGTAATGATCAGCCTAAAGGCCGAATCAGACCAGCAATTGTCGACGCGGATTCGATTGGCGATTGGCGATTGTCTTCTAGTCAACGAAAGCAAAATCGACTTCATTGGCTAGAGGTCAATCGTCAATCGCCTTAAAGGCCGAATTAGACTAATCGCAGATTCGGATTGGATTGGGATTGGCGGTTGTCCTCTGGCCAATGAGAGCAAAGCAGTCTGCGTTTTAATCGTCAATCGTTAATCCTAGTCCAATCCGAGTTGCTAGTCTGATTCAGCCTTAATGCGTCTCTCTTTTTTTTTATTTATATAGAAATTAATCTCTCCCTGATTCCTTAACATTCTTCGCTCGCCTCTTTTTTCGCCTCGAGCCATAAATATCCCGAGCGATAGACGACAGGATAGAAATATTAATGCGTTAATCCTCGTATCAGGCTAATTTCAAGCGATTCCACGATATCGGTGGAGATTTGCGATTGTAATTGCAGCCTCCGATACTCGAAAAGACTACCGAGACCGCGCCGAGTATCTACGGATCGCGCGCGATTACGCGTTTTTCGCGTGTGCGTCCGCCTTAATTAATATCCGACATCTCGGTAATAAGCGATCGATGATCTATGGTTTCCGGATGCGCCCGGGCATCACGTTGCGAATGGAAACTTGAGGGTGGTCCGAACGTTTCTGCAACTCGCGCAAGAACGAGTTTCGCCGTGCGGCAGCGGCGCGTTTCTCCCTTCTTCTTTTTTCCCTCTTTTATCTCTTTCTCTCCCTGTGTTGTTTATATCTCCCGGTACTTACTAAACGTCTTTGCGAAACGCCCGTCTAACAGCGTCCAACTGCTGTACCTACCCGCTAATAGACCCGCCGCGAAACAAAGCCGCGCGTAATAGTATAATAATGCGATAGGTTTCTTAACGCGGCACATTTTCATAAACGCTTGTTACCGGAGCGTTCGCCTGCGAGTGCGGTGAGTCAACTGCACCGCGGAACGGATGCACGCAGACCATTCGTTTCCAATGAACCATTATACCACGCTCTCTGAAAGTCAACCGGTGGATTGTCACTTAAAACAGCGAATGGTCACTAATTTACAGTTATAAGTATATGTGTTGTCCCACGATTACACGATTTTCAGGATAAATTTCGAGAGAAAATTCTCTCCGTGTACCGCTGCAGGTCGCAGTGGCATGCTTGTAACTGTAAATCAGTGTTCGTTCACTGTTTACAGTAACAATCCACCGATTGACTTTTAGAGAGCGCCGAATAAACTTTTTGCGAACAATTACTTTTGTCCGGTTCAATATTTTGCGTGACGTCGGCCCGGTCGTCCCTCGTGTACACTGTAAAAAAGTATATAAAATTACATACGTAATAAGTGTAGCGGTTACACCGTTAATAACGGAAATATATAAATTTATACGCTTTTACAAAAACTTTTTCATTCTTTGTTGTGTAAATACTTGTTTATACACGATACAAAAATTACCAAAAATTGTAAAATTTACACAATTAAAGTTTACTTATTATATAAGGCAATAATTTTACCTCTAATGTGTAAATTTACTGACGTGTGTAAATACCTATACATATTTAATAGGTGGTCCCAATATTACGCACTATAATAATTGTAATTGTCCATGTAATTTTTTTACAGTGTACCAACGCGCCCTAGATCGGGAAATTGTGTCGCGTGACTCATTGCGAAAATTCGCGGTGGCCATGCATTAACGCTCGATAATGGAATAGAAGGATATATCGCGAGGTATCATTGGGCACGTGCGCGATTTTACGTCTCATTTGCCGTACGGAGGAGCGGCAACGATCGAGCGCGATTGACGTTGCTCCGAGCGAGCGACTGGCCGTGCATAATAAAGCTGCGCGCAGTTAGATTCCGCGGTACGAGACGCCGCTCTCACGCGAGAGAGAGAGAGAGCGACGCGGTTCCGATGCGCGATCACGAAAATCTTGAATGCCCTTTCGTTCGCAGGAGCTGAAGATAAAGGCCGGCGCGGAGAAGCTGAGGGAGGTCGCAACCGACCGCAAGTCGCTCTCGGACGTCGCGACGATCGTGAAGAAGGCCAACAGCAAGCTGAACGAGCTCCAGGCGGAGCTCCAGCAGCTCGAGAGTCAAATTATACTGACGCAGGGCCAGCCTCAGTCGCCGCAGCAGAATCACTCCAACGGTCAAGGTTGGTAAAGCGAAGCCGTGCGCGCGAACGCGCCTATGCGATACCATCTTCGTGCTCCTCGCCTCGTGGCTCTCCGCGTAGCATTGACCGCGAGCGAGAGAATAAAGCGCGGCCCGCTAACGCGGCTCCTAAACGGGTTTTATGTAACACGAAACGTCGCGCGCGCGTCAGACGTAATATCGGTACCGTGATGTAAGAATATACGGTGAAACATTGCGCGTGAGTGACGGTTGAGTGCGTCAAGAAGCAATTTTTCAAATTGTCGATCGTTTCTTGCCGCATTCAACCACAATGACTTGCAGCTTCAAGGTTTGGGGCAAATTTCCGACTGGTCGAGGAATCGCCGTTACTTACTACGAGTGCGCATCCACGGGAATGTTTCGCCTGGATATCTTTACGTCATATGATCGGTACACGTGGCACTAAAGATCCTCGACATCCCGAGACACCCGTGGAAAACGGGTTAACACGAGCGGAGAGAAGTCGCCGTTTCCGCCGCGCGATAGTTTAACAGACATTATTACGTGAGTCATCGCGGACGATAGACGATTACGAGCAATTAAAGCGCGCGCGCGCGGGATATTAAATAATCCAAGTGACCGCCGATAACAAAGTCGAGGCAGAGCGTTCGGCAGACCTTTTCGCCGAGTTTCGCGAGAGCGTGAAATTTCACGATAATTTCACGTTGGTTTGCACACGTGGCGCGATTATTGCCCCGCTTATTCATTGGCTTTGCGTATCGATGCATCGCGATAATGGTTAATGTTGCGGCATGCCAGCTCCCCGCCGCGTTAACGACCGTTCCGTGCCGTTAACGAGGGAGCCACTTAATAACTCCGCCCGTTAACGAGGCGTCGAGACGACGTCTTCGGGTTTATAAAGCTCTCTGAGCTAGGCCGCTGGGCCTCGCGTCGCCATTAGCGCTGACAAATCGAGCGTATCTCTTTAACGCAGTGACGTTTCTGACTCATCGATTGATATATACATATCACTGGGCATTAGATATGTATCTGAACGCCCGACTTGAAAAGACAACGCTCAATTAGATAAATGTAGCGAAAGACGTTTCAATATTGAAAGTCTAAATATCTATCAAGGGAACGGTCGGAAGTGTCCCTCCCCGATTTCGATACGGATATGTTGTAGAGCATAAAAAATATTTCTGTTAACGACTTTTCTCGACTTCTGCGTTGAAAAAATTTTTTAATTTAAAAAAATAATGGTGGGGTATAGTTTTCGTCTCGGTAACAGAAATCCTTTCTGAGGGTGCATTTGGCACATTATTGAGAATGTCAAGTTAAAAGTTCACGATGATAACACAATGATCGTGATATCTGTCCACCGCATCCTTAAAAGAGAGCCGCGATCGATTGACTGCAGATAAAAATGTAGCGAGTGACACATTTATCCTTTTCGTTGCTGATCGATTGACTGGCGACGGAAGACAATACGTTCCAAAATAACGTGCTATCACTGTCGTTAACACTGTCGTTCTTCCATGAGACTGGGTTTATACGCTAGCTGCACACTTTCATGCCGTGCATGATTCGATCTAGCCTCTATACTCCTCTATACTCCTTTGCGATGCCTAAACCGGGCATTCGATTCCACCGCCAGTTTAATTTACAATGTGCTCTTTGCAACTAGAAACATTCTCTTTTATAATCAATAAATGCGTTTAAAAAATTGCGCAAATTGATAAATTGTACATTATATATCGTACAATCGTACATTGCCGATACATTTTTTAAGCGTTTCGATTTACTTACATAAAATCGAATGTTTCTAGACGCAAAGAGCACTCTGTAGATCATGCTTAAGGGGATCCTAAAGTCGTCTGTTTTATCGACATTCTATATTAGAAGTAATCTTTTCATTGGCTTTATAGAAATGCAAAACTCTTTTACGGAATTAAAGTACGCGGCAAAATCTAGACTATGCTGGTCGACTTGGTATATCGAAAACGAAGAAAATTACAAATTTGACTAATCTTTGGTACACTTGACGACAATATTTGCTTGATACAAGATTTGTACAATAAATATATACAAAATGTGACCAGCATACTCTAGGGGCAACATATAAGAACAATATCGTGCAATTAGAACTAAAATTAATAGCCTAGCAAAAAAGATTAGTTGTAATAAACGCAAGTCCAGAAATCCAAGTCTAGAAGAAGAGAAAAAGGGTAGTATGGCGTGTAGAAATAGTTGCAGACTTTTTCGAGAAAGGTCGCTGCCAAACATCTGTCAGATTGTCGGTAAAGCCATGGCGTTGACGATGCTAGAATTCGATCCAAAATCTCGGTCTGAGCAATGTGTAGCTAATAAAATTGCCGCTTTTTCGTAAAAGTTGCAAATTGATTGGCTATAAATTTCTCGGACCGAGTAGAACTTGGGATTAAAAATGTCGATAATTGACGTTTTTAATTCCGTCTCCTATCTTATCGACACTGATCGAGTTCACCAGCGGCGAACTTTAGGATCCACGATTACCGTTTGCCCTCGTGTCTCTCGGCTCAAAATGTCTCCGTTGATTCCGCGGGACGTAAATCAGAAACGATTGACATACTTTTTTTTGTAGTCGGTTATTCTCCCTCGCGACAGATTGACAGTATCGCGTTTCACACTCCGCGCGTCTGTCCAAATGATAACTGAAATTCAATCGTCGCGTTGTTTTCCTCCGCGCTGTTGCACTTGGACGAGTGCTCGGGATTGACATCACCAGAGTATTCTCAGGCGTACGAATGGGTTCGAAGGGGAAGAATCGCTCACTCGTACGTGGCGTCGAGTCCGTGACTGGTAGCGGCCGGGGTTACATACGAACGTGTAACGCAATTAATAGGCTAATCTAGTACGTTACTCTCGGGCAAAACATCGTTTGGCTCTTGAGGAGCGCTTTCTTTTTCGCCGTGTTACGAGCGGCCACTTCGCTATGCGCCGCGTGATGCGTTGTACAGAGGAGCCACAGTCTTGCGCTCGTTCTGAATTGACGGTAAGTGGTAGCGGGCTATTTATACCTTGGGCCCCGAGACGCTCGCCGTCCACTCCAGTTAAGTCAGTCATCGTCGTGCTCGGTCTCGAGTCTAGCAACCCGCCTCGGGGGTGCTTCATTCATCCCCTTGGTACCACGGGGGGACGCGCCATTCAGTTGTGCGATCGCCAAGCGATCTGCACCGGGATGCAGCGTTTCTCGAGCTACTATTGCCGTTGATAGCTCAACAACTCTGAGAAACGATTAAGAAAAGACCGTCGTCTAAACTCGTCGAGGTATTAAGTCCTTTCAATCGCATCGCTATTTACGGCAGATACCGATTTCTCAGGTTTACTCGAAAAATGACCCGATCCAACCGATTCAGCGCGCGGCGGTACAGTTTCGAGATCGAGGAGAAAGTCCCACGCTCCTCTCTCCATCTCCTGGCGAGGATGGCGAGCGGCGCGAGGCAGACGACGACGATAACGACAATGTTCGTTCACTTTCCAGCTCTGCCGTGACACGCGCGCTGTCCCGCTGCGTGCAACGGCGAAAACGTACGCGCACACGCGCGCGATCGAGAGCGCGTTGCGAGAGGAGGCGATCGCGCCGGGTACCGTTACGCGTGCGTACACAGGCCCCCGATCACCTCGTGCTCCTCTCTGTGTATCGAGATCGCGTTACGGCCAAACCGAACCCACGCTTTCGCATTCCATCGCCGGCGCTCTCGGGGGAAGCCCACTCCGATTCCTCTTTACCTCGTCCGTCCGTCCGCCTGCCGGACCGGCCCGGCCGCAGCCGGCCCGATCTTTGCGGATTACCTGTCCGGGCCCTCCCTCCGGGCCCCGATTTAATATCCCCGCGACAGCCGAAAAATCGCGTCCACGCGCGCCAGGGGCATAAAACTCGGCGAAATTCCGCGAAGAAGCGATCAAAACGGAGATTATCTCGAGGGACTTGGTGCGCTCGTATATGAAAAACTGCGCCGGTCTGCGGCGAATCGCCGTGAAATGGGAGCGTATTCTATAAAATCGTGAACGTCTATTCTTTATTTCCACAAATCGCGCTGCAGCAATCGGCACAGTCCGCTCTAATTTTATCGGCTGTCCTCCCGCTGGGGAAATCCCAGATGAATCACGCTGTTTGGTCGCGAAAATTGAGCTAGATTTTACGCGGCGAGTCAATTATAAAGCTTATTGACCGCGGGATACCGGCGCATAAATTTATGAAGTGCACTTTATCGAACGTGCAACGTTCGTAACGCAGTAACGGTATAGGGGCCAGGCATTTACGAGTTAATAAATTTTAAGTGGCCGCAGCGGGTTCGTAACTAAATAAGTCACTCGGGTCTGCCGCTCGAAGCGCCGGAAATATTGTACGCGGCGCAAGACGTGTATCGTTCGCGCGGCGTTAAAAATTTTAACTCTCGCGACTGAAATATCCGCGGCTCCCGAGAAAGGCGGCACGCCGCTCTTGAGTTATTCATCAGTGACGTAACGATAACGCGAGGATCGCCGGGGCATGTTTAATTTATAAAGAATATTATTACGCGCGCCGGCGCAAAGTGTACTCGTACCGTTAAACTCGGACGTTCCGTACGTGGCCACTTAATATAGCAGACCCAATATAGTTCCGTAACGTAAGACCTGCCCCTCCGGACGCACGTAATACCACGTATCGCACAGTAGTGCAGCGCGCTGAGCTTCCGTATGACTGGAGCGAGTAGTATCGGGTTCGTCGTCGGGCCTTAGAGTCCCTCTAATCCAGTCGCACTCTATACCATACTGGAAGACCTACTGCCCTCTTGAAGAAGATGGACAGATTGAGACAAATACTAAGTTCCCATTTCTGTCCCTTTTTAGTAATTCCAAAGGCCTTGGACCAAGTTCTAGCGTCGTGGACACAGACTTTAATAATTGAGCCACGATTTCTTACATAAGTGAGGTGGGATAAGTGAGAGGGTTGTCGGCCGAACACAGAAAATCAGAATTACTAGAAAGAGACAGAACGGGAAACATTCGTCTGTC